TAGCGGGTGCTTCAGCTATGCCCAAACCTCCACTTTAGTGTTCAGTTTGAGCACAGACAGGCCGGAAATTAATTCATCTGCAGTATTTGTATCATCTGCCATCAGCTGCTAGATAGTGTTAGCTTTTGAAATGAGAGCTGAGATCAGGGTGCAGAGTCGTTTTTCAGTCTGCTGCTCTCATTGACTGGATCTCTAGGTCTCCTATGAGTTAGCTACAGTCAGCTAAGGTTATCCACTTTAAATTACCACAGTAAACAATTTAAGCCACTTTTTATCCAAACATAACAAGAACGTATGCAGGTAAATATTGCACCTCCCTCCCAAAATGGTGCCCCATCCCAATATTCAACATAGCGTTTAATGCTGTAAACTACTTTCAAGAAAGTACTCTCTTAAAGTGGCAGCATCAAATCACAAAACAGGATTCTTATAAAACTAAAGTATAACAGAAATACCAATATTTATAAATACAGTAAGCAGCAGAGCTACAGTATATTTTACCCCTAAGCAAATGCATGTATACCAATTACTTACCAAGAGAATCAATAAAGTCTTTGTTACTCTGGTAAAACTTTACATATGCTGCTAGTTTTGCACTCACAAAGATGGTTAATAGCTGAAAAGAGAGTCAGAGGGAGAAACACCAGTCAGATCATCGTTATAGTCATACAGGCTGAAAGTTATTATAAATGTGTCCAGATGAAGATTATGAGGCACACATCACAGATTCGTCCTTGAGGTACATTGCATTAAACTATTAAAACATTTAGAAATGCGACTCTATTGACCTGTCAAAACTTTAAGAGACAGTGCACACATGCCATTTAAAATAATATTTTTTTTCACCATCTCAATTCTCCTGCTGCTCAAAATTCAAACTTGCTGACCATGGTCATCAGTTTAATACTCGACTGTGCTTGTCTCATCTGTCACCGATACTACCCATTTAACACTACCCTTCAGTACTCACATCATGGATGAGTTCTCCCTCCAGGAAGCGAACAGGTTTCAGGGTTAGCAGGTGGTCAAAAAGGAAGGCGTTGGGGTCTTTGAGAGCACGGACGATACATCTAAAGAGAAGGAACACAGAAGAATGTATGTATGAGGGATGCACAGGATACTGAATGACAAATAAAAACAAGTTTTCCAAGTTCACCTGTGGGCATCAACACGTGCTTGTGAAGCATTATCTTCTGTGTAACTTCCCAAGAGCTCAACCATCACTTTTGCTGCAGCCTCACTGTGAAATGAGTAAATATATTGCTGAAAACTTTTATACTGAGTAAAAGATAGCATACTATCACACACAGTCTCAGGTGCAGTGGTTTGTACAATATATGCATAAAAGAAATGTATATTTTATCTTTCAGAAGTTCATAAAATTTTAATAATTTGTATTCTGCTTCTGTGCATACGAATATGAATTTTACACATCTAACTCTACAGTATATGTAGTTACCTTTTTTTGCAGTCAACCAGAGCTTCATACACAAGCCTCAAGAGTATGTGCTTCTTGTCCGTGTTCAAGTTCCAGTCAATAATCCACTTGCGCACCTGATCAACATCAAAAAAGGTTTCATGACATACAGATGTAAAAAAAGCTGCATGCTGTGCTTTGAAAAAGTTAACTAGTCAGCCAGACGCAGGTGCAAAATGTGTGTTTGTTTTGTATCAAGAAAATATGGTGAAAGGCAGTGACAGCGCTACAGAGATTTTTCAGCCTTCTAAGAGGACTAAGTCTGAAGTGCGGTGGTATCTTAGCTTTTATTACAGAGCTGAAGGAAACTTGACTGAAAATGGGTCATCCTGTCTACAAAACACGCAGCCAGAATATTGCTGTGACACTTTATAGCGAATGCAAAGTAAATTAACTTTTAGCTTCATGCATGTTCTGGAAACATTGGAGTGGGGAAAATGTCAAGGTTTGGCTGCCTAGCTTGCTAATAGCTTGTCAATAATGTAAACTGAAGCTTTCAAGTGTTACCTAATCAACATTTCAAGTTGTTCTGCTGCTGCCTGTATCATGTGTCTGCAGACTGTATTCAACCATTGCACATGATAACATGTTACATAGTTTAGTCAATAACAATAACCAACAACATATTTGTTCATTTAAAATTCGAAACTCATCGACTTGGTTGCAAAACAGTTGCAAGATGCGAAACACTATATTTTCTCTGTATTTTGACAACACTGTGGTAACACTGATAACTTGATCATTTTGGTCACTATAAACATGATATTTAATTTTCATACCATTTCATCTCTACTGTCTCTGCATCTCAAACCAAAGAAATACACTGAGACTGGCCGTGTTTATGGTCACCTATTGATGGTGGATAAATATACCTGATCAAGGTCAGTGGGGATGAAGGAGATGGCATTACAGGTTGCTGCCACCTTGACGAGGCTACAGAAGACAGTGTACCTCACTGGAGTGTTCTCATCCATACCATGGAACAGGTTACTCAGCCTGCATAAAAGAAATTTGATCATTTGTCTGCTCATGGATGTAATAATAATAATAATAATACAGTATAATAATAATAATGTCAGTCTTGACTAGTATTCTTTTTCCAAAGTTTGAGAAACAACAAACTAAAATTGGTGTGTTGAAAGATATAAGGGAAAAACGTGGTAAGACTTACAGCTGCATCCTGAGAGAGGGTCTCTCTCCTTCACGGAACTTCACCAGCTTCTCACAGAGACTTTCGATGAGAGCCTCCTGCTTCTCTGTCTCCAGGATCAACAGCAGAGACACAATGCTGTTCATCACACTCTCCACATCTGTGCAGATACAGAGAGAGGGCCATAAGTAATGAGAGATAGCATCAGTCCCAGAGCAGGTCAGAGTCAGCTTCACTGGACATACATTTTGACACCATTACAGCAGGAAAAGCTGTTGTGATTATAAAACTTATAAAGACTGCAGTCCCTTTTGGGTGAGGCCCTGACTCCTGGTATTGTATATGCTGACTTATGGAACTAAGAAGAAGTGGACATTATGGATAACATTTTGTATAGACAAACTTTTATATGACTGTGGGTGAAAAACAGGGGCATTCTTCAGCATCACCTACAGTACCTTTATCATCATCTCTGAGGCAGACATCACACGCCTCAATGATTTGAGCCAAATCTACATGAAGTCCTCCTTCAGAGTTCTCTTCTGAGATATCAGCTCCTTTGGACTTGATGTAGGCTCTCAGCTCCAAAGCCTGTACACATTAATTCAACACAAGTTAAATTAAAAAGTACAAGAGTACCAAGATGCATACAGTATGTGTAATAGTATCATGGTTCACTATTTATTTGAGCTAATTATGTAAAATATACGGAGATATAAGTGTTTAACGTGTTTTATTTTCATAATATACTGGCGTGTCATTTGTTTTATTGCTGATTATTTGGACATCTAGCTAAATGACTGGTTAGCATTCTTGGATATACTAACGTACAGCTTTAAAAACATCTGAGACATGGTTAACGTTAGCCATACGAGATGAAAGCGACTAACGTTAATGCCAATGACCGCCAACTGAATATACATACGAAACATCTAAACAACTGGTTTAATGATATTCATATTCGTAACGTGCATTCACATATGTCACATCGTCAGCATATAACGTTGGCTAGCTAGCTAACAAACAACATCTATCAGTAGCGCTAGCTCAGAACTGTAGCTAGCTAGCATGCTAAGTTATTTAGCTTAGTTAACTAGTTCTTTTTGTTGACTCATCCGCGAGCGGAACAATACAAATGAGTTTTTAAAGACATGGGTCATACCTGGTCTTCTTCTGTAATATCAATAAATGCAGGGACGCTCATTCTTGGTGATTTTGCGAGCCTGGATCTTAAAATCCACGCTCCCACCACTACTAAAACCTGAGCGGAAAAGAAAAAGCAGCAGCGCCGGTGAAACAATTGTTCTTCCGGGTCACGTTCTTAAAGCCACAGTGACCTAGCCAGAAAAATATGGATGGATTTCTTTATGGCTGAAAGCGATAGCATGCTGGAAGTTTCCCTCCATATGCTGGGACTTTTAAAAACTACGAGTCCTGTAACAGAAAAAAGGTTGCCTACCACAATTATATACATTAATTATAGAAATTCAAAGAAGCTCTAAATATGGTTAAAATTCCTACAGGCCTGCATAGCTCCAGCGTGTGCTGTCCCTTCCTTCAGAGGTCAGGCAACCTCCTAAATTTTATTAGTCAACCAGACTTCCACTTATATATGCAAATCTTTCATTCTTCCTTATCCAGATATCAATCAGGTCTCTGGGAGATTAACTCTCTGTCTTGGATGAGAGTCACTGAGGTGAACCTGATTCCCAGGAGAGGTTATCTGATAGAGCTTCAGTCCGTCTGTTGGGACCACCATGGTAGGCCTAACCCAGAGCTTTCCAACCTGGAAACACCGTCAGTGTCAGAGGGCAACACTCTTCCACCATACACCCGCTGACCTATGGGTGTGCTTGCTGGACCTCGATACCAAGTGGGATCCTGTGTGTTGTTACCATGGCAGGTCGCTCTGTGATTGAGGTGAGTGAGGTGAAGAGGGTAAGTGGAGGAGGAGTTCACACTAAAACTATGGAGTCAGGTTTCTAACATTTTGTGTGTAAAAGGCTGTGTCCCAGAAGATACTGTAGAGTGTTTCCATTTCCAAGTAGCTCTGGCAGCTCACAGTTCATCTGTCAAATAAATATGCACATTTTTGGAGATTCATAGACCATGAATACACACCATGCCATGGCATAATTCCTTGAAGGTCTGCCTGTCACATATTTGTCTTAGCAGTTACAGTTAAGGAACTGAAGTGTTGCGTATTTCAGCGGGATAAATACCTTAAAATAGTGTGCTAAGAGGAAATGGGTGGTGGTGTCTTTCACCATAGTGCTTGTATGATGCGTCATTCTGTTGGGAAGGCAAGTGCCTGGTACCAAATCCCACCCTCACTGTCTCCCTGCCTTTGTATGCTGTCATGGTAAAGAATTTATAGTCACTTCTCCACAAGTGTGCTTGTGTAACTCTGAGACTTTCATTATCTGATTAACAGCTGTTGGCAAGTGCCTGGTGTATTTCAAGTCCTGAATAAGAGTTCTGGAGGCTTTGAAGCTCCAGGTGCATATGAGATATTGTTTTTGTCTTCTTTAAAAGGTCTTTAAAATTCCACAGTTTGTTATGATGCTCAATGGCCTTTGTAATATTCATGGAGACTGTACCTGGTACTCCTATAAAACTAGGGTTTAGTCTGCTTTATATAATTTTAAACTAACCAGGCAATCTTTACATGTATACATAATCTAGCAGCAGATATCACCTATGTAACTTGCACTGATGTCTAATAGTGTCTTGTAGATTTATGTTGGGGTATGTGTGCAGAATTCAGTGGGAGAGTATTGGTCATTCTACTTTTGTCAGATGATGTGGTTTTTGAAGTCAAATGTTCCTTTGTGGTTGTGAAATCATTACAAATATTGCCTAAGATAATTCACATAATCATGCCTTTGCAGGAAGACTTGTTTTTCAATTTTAAATCCCAATTCTCTTACAGGTTCTCTTTTGTCTTTGTGTTGTTGCAACACACTCTTATTTGAGTCCACACAATATTAAACATATTTTTATTTTTAAATGTTTTAACTACAAGAGATTCAAACTTTTTTCACTTGAGTTATCCTCTGTAAGTTAAGCCACAGTCCACAGCCTTGTGAAATCATTTCAAAACAGAATTGGATGAACTAAAAAAAGTTTTTTTTTCGTTCCTTTAAGCAAAATGGTAATATACTAGGTTTTGACCTTAGGTCTAAAGGTACATACACTCCGTTGCCACTTTATTAGGTACACCTAGCTAAAGATAATGCAGTGTAATCCAATAATCCTGTATCAAATGCTATTCCTTCATGAAGTTTATGATGTTTAGTTATTGTTGAAACAGTATGGTAATTTTGGAGGCTGCTGTTGGTAGGGTGGTTGAATTGTACTGCTTATATTGACCAGTGTGTCTATTCTTTTTTCCACCCTGTTTATATCGATGAGGCCAGGCCAAATAACAGAATACCTTATAAATTCATTTTAGCTAGCTGCACTTAATAAATTGGCAAACGGTATATATTCTGTGGAGGAATGAGGGGTTAATGGTGTGAGTGTTCCTACCTCAGTAATTCTCTGCCTCTATATTAGTCTACTGAAACTATTCAAAAGTGAATATTTGTTCATGTCTATTTAAAATGCTTATGTAGTGACTATGTTTATAAAGACCTTATTAATGTTTGTTAGACTGGAAATAGCACACTGTCTTCTTAAACTGCTGGCAAATGGCCTGCTCAGCCCCCTCAAAATAAATGAGCATGTGCTTAAGAGTAAGTTGACCCCAGGTGTCTGCTTTCTCCCTGTCAGCCAGCCAAGTAGTCAATATCCATGTAAACTAATCTCATAGTCACCATCCAACATGGCCGCCTACCTTCCACCCACAAATTTTCTAGTTCCCACAGTTCTGCTTGCCTTCACAATTTCTGAAAAATCCCCTTGCTCAGGCTCATCTATCAGCCAGTGACCTTGTCAGGATGCATCGCATGAGTAACTTCCCTACTTCCCTAGGTGGAGCAAATTGCTTGTTAATTACTTAAAAACTGACACACTCTCCCCACACCCGTACACACAAATAGAAGAAACAAATAAACAAATGAAGTCAAGCTCATAAGCAGAGACGGGTCCAGAGTTCACAGTGGTCCAATGCACGTAAAATCCCAAGAGGCCCTTCTGATGGACTTCTGCTGTCCACAGATTATATATCTTCTGTTGGTTGGACAAAACAAAGAATCAGACGGCATCACTTTGGGCTTTGGGACATTTTTCTTATTCTACTTTACTGCTAGACTAATTGGTTAAGTAATTAATCAAAAGAATCATTGCCAGATTAGCCAGTAATGAAAAGGGTAGCATAGTTTCAGCCCCAAATAACTCCTCTGCATGCTTCAAAACAAACTTGCTCTAGTGACAGTTTTTTTTTTTACCTTGCAGCTCATTGTTTTATGGCTTGAATATTTACTGACCTCTTACCCACACTGTCAGCTGAGATAAACCCACTGTGCTCTTCCTGCCCAGCACCAAATCTCAGGTATACTTATTGACTAGCACATTAACTAGCATATTAAAGACCCAAATATTCATTTCAGGACTTGGTGGCGACCAAATGGAAAGTGAATATTGCTTTTATATTTATCAGGTGGACAGAAGCAACGTAATGAATGGTTATGTTTCCCCGTGTCTGTGGGATATTAAAGTATGCAGTTGTTAACAGATTAGCCCAAACAGTGTAGTGGCTGTGTATCTGTAAGTATTTTGTTTAAAAAAAAAAGTTTTTCTGCTGCCTATTGACCTCAGGTTTGTTTATGCACCGTACACCAAAGCTGATTCCATGTGCATAGAGAAAAAAAAGCCCCATCCTGTTGCCATAGCTGGGTGTATGTCTTACTGAATTCCTGTGGTCTTCTGTGTTAGCTGCTCAGTCCCCATGATCACTTATCTCCTCTACCGCCAGATGATCAATCACACAGCACAGCTGCAGTCTGATACACCTCCAAGTTAGTGATATTAATTTACAGTTCCTTTTGTTAATTCAATTAGATTTTTACTGTTCTTTTATGTACCTCTTAGATGTTACTCAGCTGTACTGTATGAGCCATCTGCAGTGAAAACTCAAATGTAACCAGAAAGAGAAGCATGGTGCATGAAATACCACTGTTATCTTGCCATATCACATAATGACCAGCTTCATATCTCACCAAAGACCACAGTAATCAATTAAAGTGAGTTAGCATTTTTGGTGTTGAGCTATCTGAGGTCATTAATCCCCCCTGTGTGGAATGTGTGTGCACTGTTTCAACCTAATGGCAGCAGCAAAAAAAAAAAAAAAAAAAAAAAAAAAAAAAGGCTCCAGTCCTCCAGGAGTTCTGACTTTTCTCTCTGGATAGATTGAATCCCTGCTGTAGGACTGAGGCTTTTTATTGATGGAGTGGTCTTTTGTCACCAGAGTGTGTTTATGTTACACACATAGGCCAGGAAGAGCAATAAGTGCTTAAAAGGAATGGTCAAGCACAGAATCTAATTTGTTTCAATTGGGATACATTGCACAATATGTGGCTTGAAGTTACAGATGGCAAATGTCAGAAATACTAATTAGAGGCATGTTAAACTGTGTAAACATTTGCCTTTGAGATTTATACAGTTTCATCAGCACTGATAAATATGATGCTGAAACAGAGAACAGACAACCACTGGAAATTTCTCAATAATGAATTTGATTGTTGAGACACAAGACAAAAAGGGTAGATGCCATTTTTTTTATCACAAAAGATATCTTATGTACGTTTTAATTTACAACATAACAAGCTTGAAGAAGTACAGCATGAAAACTAGTTTAATAATCAAGCAACTTATTTTCAACAGTCTGTTGTGTTTTTTAACACAAATGCTTCAGCACACGGTGTTACTGTCATAGTGAGAAAGTTGCAGTAAGGCGGCATTTCCCTAAAGTGAAATGTCAGAGGTTACAGTCACACTCTGTTCTGATGGTAATAACTTCTATATTTTCCCATTATTGTGCATGTACCTTGGAGTCATCCAGTAAACGTTTGCTTGTCTAGCCTCAGAATGAGGCTTAAGGGTATGACAACAGACACTGACCAAGAGAGATATCTGAAATGTTTTCTGATGACTGCTCACACCCCGGCCACAGCTGCTAGGGTGTGACTTATGGAAGATGCTGCGGTTTACTGTGAGTAACTGATAATGACTAGTCGTGATCCTGACATACACAGACACCTGCTGGGATGAGACATGCAGTTGTTGTTCATCAAAGTTAAACAAGATACTTTTAACACCACTAACATATACCATGTGTTTCAATCAT